AAGACGTGGGTTCAATCCCTGGTCGGGGATCCAAGATCCCACAAGCTGCTGGTGCGGCCAAAAAATAATTAATTAAAAAAAAAGTCTTCATTAAAAAATATCTTTCAAATGTAAAATCAGAAAAAGTAAGTCTGAAAAAATTTTTTAAAATACTAAAGCCAAAACATTATAACGCAGGGTTTCTTAATCTTGGTACTATTGACATTTTGTGCTAGATGATTTCTTATTATGGGGGCTGCCCTGTGCATTGTAGATATTTATCAGCATCCTTGGCATCAAACCCCCTAAATGCCAGTAGCACCCGCTATCCACCCCTCAGTTATGATAGCCAGAAATGTCTCCAGATGTTACCAAATATCCCCTGGGGAGGCGGCAAAATCATTCCCAGTTTGAGAACTACTGATGGTAGTTACTTGCAACAGATCAATGCTTACATAGAGATCAACTAGAAGAACCATTTTTAAAATCTGCTTGAAGGCATTGGGGGGCCTCTAAGAAACTAGGATATGATGGGTCTCCACTGCCTTCAAATAAATAAGCTGGGTGATGTGGTGGTGGATTTAATAATTTATAGCAACCAGTGATAGCCGTGTTGCTCATTCTTTCCCTTTCTGAAAAGAAATTGTTATTGCATACTGGAGGTATAAGGGCAGATACTTTTTTCACTTATAGGTTATCCGATACCAGAGTCAGTTTAAGACATTATAGAAAAAATGGCACATTCCCAGAGTTGAGTGCAGTCATTGCATGTAAACTTGAGCCCAATCCCTTGTGGTTGGGTAGTCTTCCAAGATGCCCTCCCTTCTTCCAATTTTTGGCTATACACTTGGCCATACAGAATGGAGAGATTTACAAGTATCTCTTTCAGCTTAGTGTGTTCATGTAATAGAGGTCTGATAGATAAGTAGATGACTCATGTGGTAACTTAAAAGTTGGTTAAGCCCTTCACCTTTCTTTTTAGTTCCTTCCTCCTGGGTAGAGTATGGATATGATAGCTGGGGCTGAAGCAGCCACTTCAGATCATGAAGTGACTTTGTGTATAAAAGCTACACATGATGAAGCAGGAGGATGTGAATCTGGGTCTCTAATTTGTGGAGCATAACCTTTATACTCACCCTGGGAAACATGCCACAATAACTTTATATAAGAGAAATAAATTTCCATCTCATTTCGGCTGCTGTTATTTTGGGGGTCTATTACTTATAGCTAAACCTAATCTAAACTAACTAGAAAAGTTCAGGGCAGTGGTTCTCAAAGTATAGAAGTGTGGTCTGAAGGCTCCTGATTTTTTTAGGGAGTTCATGGGTAGAAGACAAACCACAAACCAATCAACTTGAAGCAAAATGTGTGAAGTTCAGAAGTGATACAGAACGTGACATAGGAAGTGATAGAGTTTTTATACAGTCCTGATACAGAATGGGTTGGGAGTCAAGCCAGAATTCAAATATCTAGAGGGAAGAGCACAGTGATGTGGGTAGTGATTCACTCTTTAAACAAATCTCTATTGTACATGTACCGTGTGTCAGGCACTGTACGGAGCATTAAGTATAGAGATGTAAGCAAGACAGATGAGATCCCATCCTCTGGGGCACTGACATTTAAAGCACAACTAGTCAGATCTTTTTCCTCTTATGAAATGTGGGCTCTTTACCTCAGTCGGTATGGAAGAAAGAACAGTTAAAGCTGTTAACAATTAAAGAATGAACTAAATTGAGATTTGTTCTTGTTCTCCCAAGTAGGGGTTGGGAAGAAAATGTTTGATTTATATGCTTTTAAAGTAACAGTGTGGGACATAAAATACATTCTAAAAACTGCACTTTCCGTTTCCATCAGTCTGAGGTTGAGGAAAAGAAGAGAAAATAGGGAAGAGAAAAAATACATTTGAGACATAAAGGAGACAGATAATGACACACTGCAGAATCGATACTGCAGAGCAAGAATGGTGGGGGAGGGGAGGTTGATATGGAAAAGGAAAAATCTTAATTTTAATTAAGGTGCCTAACAGCTTTCTTTGACTCAACTACCTCTGTTAAACTCCACTTATATCTTGCATCTGCATAAATATTTTATAAGTGGTAAAGCACTATATAAATGTATAGCCTTCATATTATTAGCAGATACCAAATCTTTACTGAATTTCACAGTTCTCACAGAAAATTCCTTTATAGTACAGTTTTTGAGGGTTCCCCCCATCTCCCCCTGAAAGTAGTTCCTTTGAGTTTAACTCTTCAGTCACCATTCTCACATTTTACTCATTTAAACAAAGGTTTGACTTGTAGTTGTGGAGAAATTATATAATCTACCATATGCTTACTCCATCTTTTTAATCTTTAAAAGTCAATAAAAAATTGCTGAAATTTCTTTCATTCATAAACTTATCAATAGCATTAACCTATGTATGACATTATAAAATTTCATATAAGTACCAATACAAAACACCATGTGCTTCATATGGCTGTCAGTATAAGATCAATAGATCCTGAAAGTTTGGAAGCTTCAAAATTAAAATGTAACAAGTTCCTGCTTTAATTACTACATCATTTCTAAATGTTAAAGGAGAGAAACTAATTTCAGTGTTACAACCCATATGTCAATAACATTCATTCCTTTGGTAAAAACAAGTGATCTGTTAGTAAGGTTTCATTATGAGCACACAACAAAACCCTAAATTATTTGCTGATAGGTTGGTTATCCACTGACTTTATGAATTCTAGGATAGCTTCCCCATGCTTCTGAGTCATTTCCGTTTACTACTGTAATATGCAGGGGTATTAATCTTAATATTTAAATATTAATATTTAGGCTTAATTCAGAAAACATGAATAATCAAAACAAACAAGAAAACTTCTTACATGCAATCCCACTCCTGGGCATATATCCGGAGAGAACCATAATTCGAAAAGATACATGCACCCCAATATTCATTGCAGCACTATTTACAATAGCCAGGACATGGAAACAACCAATTGTCTATCAACAGACAAATGAATAAAGAAGATGTGGTATATTTCTACAATGGAATACTACTCAGCCATAAAAAAGAATGAAATAATGCCATTTGCAGCAATATGGATGCACCTAGAGATTATCATACTAAGTGAAGTAAGCCAGACAAATATCATATGATATGGCTTATATGTGGAATCTAAAAAAAGATACAGATGAACTTATATACAAAACAAACAGACCCACAGACGTAGAAAACAAACTTATGGTTACCAAAGTGGAAAGGAGGCAGGGAGTTTGGGATTAACATAAACACACTACTATATATAAAATAGATAACCAACAAGGACCTACTGTATAGCACAGAGAACTACACTCAATATTTTATAATAAACTATAAGGGAAAAGAATCTGAAAAAAAAATATAAAACTGAATCACTGTGCTGTACACCTGAAACTAACACAACGTCGTAAATCAACTATACTTCAGTAAAAAAAAAAAAAAAAATCTTACAATGCATTCCAAGCTGAAATATATTTCATATGGTGGGGATTTTCTTAACACCAACTTCCTAGAATGTAGCATGATACCTTCTCTTCCCAGATATCTGTGTTGTGTATGTTTTCACTTCTTTCAGGTCTTCCCTGACCACCCTGTATAAAAATAAGCCCCCACATATGACCACCGGTGCTTTCCACCCGCCTTGTTTCATTTATCTCTGCAGAACTTATCACCACTATTTAAGTGTACACTTGCTTTCCTATATTCTCCTCCCCAACTCATGCCCCCCACAGAATAACCTTCATGAGAATACAGATGTTCTGGCTGTTCATTCAGAGCCTTGAACAGTTCCTAGTACATAATATGCAACCAAAAACACAGGAGTTGTTAAATGGACTTGGAGATTTTGAGTACAATTCCCTTAAGTTGTAAGTGAGAAAATAACTCCATAAATATAGAGGCAGAAAGGAACCTGAACAGAGAACAGACATTACGGAGTCCATGCAACTGATGTCCCAACTGCATAGTAAGTAGTTCAGAACACAAACTTCACACTTGGACAAAACCAGACTCTAGTCCGCTTATGAATAGTGACACCCTGGGCAAACTACCCTTTCCATGTCTCAATTCACCCGATACGAAATAGGGATGATAACAGCACCAACTTAACATTGTTATTACAGTGATTAAATGTGATTATGTATGTAAAATACTACAGTACATAGCAACAAATAAGTACTTAATAAAAGGGAGCTAACATTATATTTACCATCATCATCACCATTGACAACATCATCACCTCACTCAGGCTCCACAGATTGTTTTCTAATATTTCCCAAATAATTTATGGTAAGACTGACTATCTAGCTTCTAAGAAGCAGAAAATTAAAGAAGCAGAAAATTAAAGAGAGAGAGAGCAATTGCCAGAAGTGACAGCAGCAAAAAAATGGGAGGAAAATGAAAAACTATAAAAACCAGATTCCCAAGGTACTGCATTACAGCACAGTAACAATGTCCATAAAGATGACACTTAGCCACTAAGAAAAAGATTACATTATATTACATTTAATACACTCGTAAGATGGCAAGAAAATATAATTCTAAAATTAGGAAGACTTACTTCAAAATGGTTTACCTGAATTTTTGGTGTAAAAGATAAACTTTCATTACCTTCAAAATTCATCTTCTGGAAAAACAGAATAAAGTAAATGAGGTGTTATTATACAGAAGGCTTGGATATCTCTGCTGTAAATAAATACCCATCAGTGTAATTTTCGCCAATCTCTCTATCTAAAGCTTTTTTGACATCCTATTAAAGATCAAATTATCTCAATATGGGAATCATCCTTCTCTCATAATGTGTAATGTTGTATCTCAAGTGTGGACTTCAGGGAAATGGTAAATAGTTCCATTTTACTGTCTCAGTGTCATTGCTACAACCCTGTAACAAATCTGCATTTATTAATCCTGTTTCTTTTAAGCTACAGAATAACCAGGGTTTTCTGAGATTAAGAAGAAAATCAAATTTCAAAATCAAAACCACATTCCAACATTTCTTAAAAGGTATTTTTCTTTGTTCAATTCCTTTGTAAAAACATTGGTCACCATTTAACATACAGTGCCAACAAAATGCACTTAATTTACATGCATAAACAAGTCAATAAATCATAATACACAGACAATATGAATTTCAAACGAAGAGTACTGACACAGCTCATGTTGCATTTAACCATAGTTATAGTTGCTCCCAAAAAAGAAATAGCTAATATGAGAAATAAGAATTCCAGTTTCAATCTGAAATAAAATTCCTCGTGACAAGTAATATGAAACAATGATTATATGAAGTCATTACCTTAAAGGGAACCATTTTTCAGAAGTCACTTTGTGCAAAGCACCATACTAGTATATAGAATAAGATCTTGAAAAAAATGTGTACCTTAGGTTAAGGACAAAAGGGCTCCATTTTTTTTTAAACTAATTACCTGAATGATGCAAATTTTTATTGTGTCCATAGATTAAAATACTTTTCAATATGAAGGTTATATATTCCATATTTTGACATTTTAAATAATTCTACAGACGCTCAGCTAAAAAGATTCTGTAGGACTGGGTTATTTTCACGAGCAAAAAAAATAAAAGCACTAATCAAAAGCCCTTTCTAAACTCACAGGCAAAGTTTCTGGATATGGGATTTAATTAATAAAAAGAAAATTTAAGCACCACAATAAAATATGTTTTTAGAGAACAGAAAGGACTGGCATTACAGTTAGGGACAAAAACACTTAAACATTTACCAAAAAAAAAAAAAATTTTTTTTTTTAAATAATCACTCTAATCCTATCATCTGAAATAATAAAAAAAAATTTTGGTGTGTCTGTGGTATTATGTGGAAGATACAAACCACAGTTCTATTTAAAACATTAAGTTTTATAATTCTAATTTGATCAAATGAGACTGTCATAGTATTTGTACATAATAAGAATGTTATATATTTATTTTTATTTTCTATGATTTATTTTTTCCCTCAAAAATCTATGATTAAAGGATACCATTAAAATCATTTTGAAGTACACAGAAGAGAATTTATGACAAATTGCCTTGTGAGAAAAAACAGCTCCTCTGAAAATAAAACCTCAAAGTAAATATGTGCAAATAAAACTTTAAAAATAAGATAGCTGTAAATAGAGCCATCTTTAAGTTTCCCTTCTTTTGCATCTATTTAGCAAAATAAATAATTTCAGTGGCCCAAATAGTAATTTTAATTTCTGTTTTTCTCCTCCATGATGTGTTCAACAACTCTTACAATTAAGAGTAATTTTTTAGCCTGTGTAACAGACCACATGCTAACAAACTTTAAGGTTCATAAAATTAAAATTTATGATTCACAAGTATAGATATGAATCCTATCTATGCCTAAATCAGATACACAAGACTGGACATAAGTAACTTCAATCTAAAATATGATTTAAACACCACAAAAAAAGAAAAGGGACCAAAAAAGGGAGCAAGAATTTCTCCTCATATGTCTTTTGACCACTAGGCTATATATAACAAAAAGCAAAATATAAAATATTTATTTTTCACCTCAAAAGAAGTTATCCAGAAATAAAATCTGCTAAAGAAGATATAACAATGTCAAAATTATGAGTACTCAAACTCATTCAATTCAGATGAGAAGACATTTGTGGGGGGAAAAGCCTTCCCAAACAGTATTATTTGTATTTTATTAACCTTACAAATATCACCTCAACTTCACCACTCATACCATAAACCTTCTTGACAGTTTCCATTTTATACTAATGTGAAAAAAAATTTTTTTAGCCTCTTAATTTTCCAAGTGTCATGTCAAACCCCTTAGTTCACACATTAATTCCACAATCCCCATTAAAAATACTCTAAAATGGGCTTCCCTGGTGGCGCAGTGGTTGGGAGTCCGCCTGCCGATGAGGGGGACATGGGTTCTTGCCCAGGTCCGGGAAGATCCCACATTCTGCGGAGTGGCTGGGCCCGTGAGCCATGGCCGCTGAGCCTGTGCGTCCGGAGCCCGTGCTCCGCAACGGGAGAGGCCACAACAGTGAGAGGCCCATGTACTGCAAAAACAACAAAAAAACCCAAAATACTCTAAAATAATGACTTTCCCTTAGGAGTCAGAAATCACTATGTAATTATTCAAAACTGAGAAATTAAATTGGTAAAAAAAACAATTCAAAATAATACACTTGTTAACATATATGGTTTTATGTGGTAGGGAGACCACATAATTGTTCATCCTGATTAATCTCCGGCTCTTGAGACAATAAGGTCTGAAAATTAAAATGAGTGATAGGTACTTAAAATACTTAAAGTCTCTGTCCATTTTGAATAGATGTGAGAGTTTTTTTTTAAATGACTGAAATGATTGTAAATGTTTACTGTGAAACAGTACAAAATTGATGTTGCCAAAAAGAGTAAAAAAAATCTTTAACTGATGTTAAACATCTTAAGTAATTTGGAAAAAATCTTAAGGTTGAATTGTAACTATAAGGGAACAACAACAGAAAATGCGTTCATGCATGTACACGTGGTAAGTAACAAATAGGCAAACCCCAAGTCAGCACAGCACATCAATGACTGATACTTAAATGATATTTTGGTATATAAAGAAAGAAAAAGAAAAGGTAAAATGTTGACTGCCATTGATGAAAAAGCATATCAACAATTTACACAAAATTTTTTTTAAAAAGATGTCCCAAGAAAACCAAGCCACAATAAGTTAGTGTTTTCCATAATACATGCTGAATTAGTTGATCCCATATCTATGCACTGTTACTGTCTTAATTCCTAAATGTTGTGACAGCATATTTAATAATTGAGGTACATTAGTTTACATCTTTTTATAGGTATCCTAAGAGAGTTAATTTTTCTTTTCCAGTTTTTCATCATCTTCACCGCCTCCAAAGAAAATCAAAGGAAACATTCCTAGAATGCAGCCAATAGTCACCCCAACAGCTTTGCCCTATGGAAACAAAAGAAAAGATTTTTTGACAGTTAACTTACCCCTGTAAGAGGAATCCTTGCTTAAGTATCTGATAAAAATTACTATGTACTAAAAAATTCAACTGTGACTGTATTTCTTCTGATCATAGTAACTTAAATATAATAATAATGTACAAAAGGTTCTAGAACAAATAATATGTAAAGTTCAAAGCAACAAGGAAAAAAAATTTTTTTTCAAATTGCCATAGAAATAACACTAGAGGGGCTTCCCTGGTGGTGCAGTGGTTAAGAATCCACCTGCCAATGCAGGGGACACGGGTTCAAGCTCTGGTCCGAGAAGATCCCACATGCTGCGGAGCAACTAAGCCCATGCGCCAACTACTGAGCCCGCATGCCACAACTACTGAAGCCCGCACACCTAGAGCCCGTGCTCCGCAACAAGAGAAGCCACTGCAATGAGAAGGCTGCGCACTGCAACAAAGAGTAGTCCCCGCTCACTGCAACTAGAGAAAACCCACGCACAGCAATGAAGACCCAATGCAGCCAAAAATAAATAAATAAATTTATTTTAAAAAATAAATTAATAAATTTATTTTAAAAAATAAATTAACATTAAAGAAGTATTCAAGTAGAAAAACACTTTTTAAAAATGTCAGAGATAGGAAGAAAGGAAATATCTCACCAAGTACTCTCAATATATTTGGATTTGCTGCCCTTTGTATATATTCCTTTTCAATATTTATCCCCATGTACACCTAATTATATGTAGGTCTAATCATTATGTAAACATAGCTTTGTTTTCTGCCTTATTCCTTCCCCCCCACAGTCACACATGTTATAATAAACTCCTTTCCAAACTGTTTCATAAACTTAATAAAAAAACTTCTAAATTCCACTGAATTGATGGCCCTATAATCTACGTAAAGCTCTTTTTTTTTTTTCTCCCGGCCACAACGCGTGGCTTGTGGGACCCTTGTTCCCTGAGCAGAGATTAAACCCGGGCCCCATGCAATGGAAGCACTGAGTCCTAACCGCTGGACCACCAGGGAATTCAAGCTATCCTTACCATTAAAAATCATTGCTGCTTTTTCACCATTGCAAATGACAGAACAATAAACACATCTGTGTATAGTTCTTCCTCAATGATTTATTTAAAAATCAAATAATATGAATATTTGTGCATAACCATAGGATACTGCCATGCTATCTATTCTAGACAAAACTGCAAATATCTGTATACCCACTGCAATATATTTATATGTATACGTACACACAATTTTTCTGCGATCTCACCTACATTAAAATTTTTTTTTTATTTTTATAAATGATTTTTAAATTATGCATTCCTATGATGACTATTAAGGTTATACACTTTTGAATTAAGTTTTATGTCTTCATATAGACATTTACTGAGAATCTACAAAATACCAAACTCTATGCTAGGTACCAGGGAGACAGACAGGGTCCAAGCAGATGCAGTCTGTCTCTCTCCGCTAGGAACTTCCAGTTAGTCATCATGCTTTTCTACTTGTTAGTCAATATACTTGGAATTCTCTCATTCACCTAGCAAATGTCTCATCAATAATTTCAAAATAAGCTTAGATCTAATACTCACCAAGAAATCTCCACACCAAAAGAAATTTCTCTCCACAAAGAGTTAATTCTTTTCCTGGTGCTTCTGCTATATCAGGTGCATAATTCTATTACTGAATATGTCACACTAAATTATAATTTATTTAATATGTCTGGTTCCTTACCTACACAATCCTTAAAAAGAACTATAGTCTATTACTCATTTTATGTCCTTCAGTCTCAGCACATAACTGATACTCCTCAACAGTAACTGAATCATATAAAGAATTTTTCAAAAATCAAGTATACCTACAAAAATAGTCAATAAAAAATTACTGCTTTTCTGATCCTGCCAAGGCTTGGACAGTTTCTGTTAAAAATTCCACTCAAATCAATTTTAGTCTCAAATTTCTCAAGGGACTGAATACAGTGCCTTGCTCTGGCTACCCAAATTCACCGTCATAAGCCATATAAAGTACTCACCAAATGTGTACTAACACGTGTTTGCCACATGTCAACTTGCTTTGGCGTGAGATCAGGAATTGATAGGCCTAACCTGGAAGCCAAAGCTTCAACGTAGCCTGCAAGTCTTTAAAAATACAAGAGGACAGAATATAAGTTTTTAAAGAGAAACACAATGTCCTCACATAGGAAAAACTAATTACTACAAAGATAAGATAATTCTATACCTGTAATTGGCACTCTAGAAATGGTATAAACATTCTTTTACAACTTTCATCTTCATTGTGTATAAATATATTTGGTTTAAAATTTTTCAGACTGACATATTTAATATACAGGTAAATTAATTAACTTAGAGTAATTATTCTCTACCATTACCTTAAAAAGAACAATTCAAGGTATATAAAAATTTTTACAACACTTATAATTTATACATTTATTCCAAATTCAAAGCAAAGCACTTTAACATATAAGTTAATAACTATCATCAGAAAACAAAAATTTCCAAAATTTGTCAGATTGATATACTAAGAAAAACAGCCTACGATTTTCAGGGCAATTTCAAGTATTTATCAATTCTAAGTTGCCATTGCTTATTGGATACAATCTTACTTTAAGAACTGTAAGAAAGAAAAAAAATTGCCAATTAAGCTATGCATACGATCAATTATAAGATAGATCCCAATGTCAGATATGTTAAGTTCTAAAAACCTGTGCAACTAAGATTGATAAAACGTGGTATTTGTTACCTAATGCTATTTTTAAAAGGCAGTGAAGTAGTTCTTAAATATAAGACTCCCAACAAATCTTTATGTCTAATAAAAAAGTAATTGTTTAATGATACAATCTAAAACCAAATGGTCTTAGAGATCTATTAGATCATTTCATTCTATTAAATATAGAAAGCTATCACAGTAGCTATATAATATTATCATTATTAACCTTAATGTTGGAAACTGGGAAATAGAATGTTTAAGGGGTAATATCATTATAGGTTTATGTCAGGAATTCCAGGAATATAAAATTTTTGCTTCAGCCCAGAACAAAGAAACTGTTTTTAACATTAGCTTTGGCCCCAAACTCCAGTGCAGAAGTCTAATATATAGAGTTAGGTCATATATAAAGCTGCTTTTCTCCAGATTATAGGGCTAAGTAGACCTCTACTAGACCCAGATCCAAATCTCAAAACTTACCATTCTAATGAACCAAAAAAGGAAGAAACAGAACCAAAGACTGAGCAAGAGAAAATATGTTTATCACAAAAATTAATGCCAGCTTAGTCTTATTTATGCTTCCCAGGCTTCCCCAAGCTCAGGAAGCAGCCCAGGCCATCTGCCGCTTAGAAGAGAGAATGTAAAAACAGAAAGAGAGAAAGCTGGCCTTTTCCAAGTAGGCATCCTCAGTTTGTTTCATCATTCCTACCACATGGAATAAAAAGAGCAAAAACTAGCCGAGTCCCTGTATGTTTTGGCCATTATTCTCTGAAAATTCCTCTCTCTAGAAAACATGCCCAGTCAGTATCCTCACATTTGAGCCATATTTCTTATCTCTGGGTTTAGTGGGAGGAGGGTGGGGGTGAAATAACGATAGGGGTTCTTACTTTTAGTCCTGTCCCACCCTTGGAAATGTTTATAAAATACATATAAACACTTCAGTAAATGAAAATTCAACTTACCTTATGGTAGTTTTAGAAAAAATTTTGCACATATCACAATTGCTTGAGAAGATTATTAAACACAAATGTCAGGGTCCCATCCCCAGAGACACTAATTCTGCATGACTGGGATGTGAGCGAGACATCTATATTTGATGCACACCAAAGATTTAAAGATTTAGTGCTATTGATTTAGAAACACTAAAGTTAAAAATTTAGTTATAAAACACACATGCAAAAATAAATGTCCCTTTTAAAAATCCTTCTCAATTAAAGGAGAATGGAGAAGAGAAAGAGAGCAAGTACACACATGCACAAATGAATAAATGAATGAACTTACCCAAGACCAGCTAAATCTGACACAAGGTTTCCCAAAGCAGCAGCTAAAAAAATGAAAAATGGACAAGTGAATTATTACATAGAAGTCAGAAAAATCAATAAAGCACTGGTCTGGAAGAGTTATCACATTTCTAAACTACAATGACAATATCCAAAGTAGTTCATTTGACAGCTCTGAATCTTGAGATCTCCAAAATAGAACACAATATTTCTGAGATTATAGTATTCTACCTCCATCAAGTAGTAGGTTTTTTCTAATGTGGCAGCCAGTTTCCATTTTGGTTTCAGTATTAAAACACCTGTACAATATTTTGTAGTTTAACTTTCAGATAATATTTAAGGGAATTTGAATACTTGAAAGTTAAAGAGTGAAGCTATATGTACAGCTATGACATTCAAGAAAATCAAGGAGAGGAAATGTCTCTTTCATTAATTCATCTACTTCACGTGTTCCATAGAATAAAACAACACAGAATCATTCCCAAATGTCACCATCATGAAGAGTACAGTGGTATTTGGGGGGAAAGAAGGAGACAGAACCAAATTAGATTTTCAATCTTGTATTTCCTTCCTTGACTTTTCTTCCCAACTTGAAAATAAATAATTTGATAGAGAAAAAGAGTAGGAAGGTTTTAGGGTAACACTGAATTAAGAGAAAAAATTTTTTAATATAGTCAATCTAGTAGATTATTGTTACCCATTAACTAACTTAAAGTACCTAAACTTTCTCAGAAAAATATCTGCTACATATACAAAATTAAAAATTAGAGGAATAGGATTATGTAGATAAACTAAGAGACATCTCAGTGAATAAACTCATTCAAATAAAGTATCCTCTTCTAAACGTAACCTACTAAAATGTTTCATAAATATACAATGGAATAATAACATTACTATTATTAAATACCTGCCATAGTTGAAATTCCCAAAATAATTCCAATAGATAACTCAATATGGGTTCCCTGAAAAATGATTACAAAGGAATTAATCTTAAAAATTAAAACTGAAGTGACTATCAAAGAATAGCAAAACATTAATAAGAGGTAAAACAATCAATATGTCATCACAGCAAAATTATATATATAAAATATGCATAAATATACACATATACTACAGCAATTCACTTAATTATTAAATATTGGGTTGACCAAAAAGTTCATTCGGATTTTTCCATAAGAGGTTATCGAAAAACCCAAACGAACTTTTTGGCCAACCCAATATATGCAGTCATGCAGAAATAACATCAATATTTTATTTATTAAAATTAGGCTTTCATAAAAATAAAAAATAGCAACACACATAGCAATATAATTCATCATTAATAATCTAGAATTTATATTTTCTTACCACAGAAAGTTGTTTTAATGCTTTTGAACACAAAGACAACCAACTCACCTACATTTTAAATTCTGAATGATACAACTAAACTATTGATATTTACCCTATAAAAGATTTAAAAGACAGACAAAACCAGTTTCTAGGGACCCAAAAAATCAGACTTCAAAAATTATCCTTAAAACACTTAGTTCTTTAACCATTAAGTAATGAGACTGTATGATTCATTTATATGCAACAATAGCATTTAATACAATAGATCTACAGCAAAAATGAGGTTCCACTGTATTTCCACTGAATTTATTGAGTTTAAGATTTTCTATGTCTATCTCATTTCTCTAAAGAAAAGAGGGGCTCGTATTTTTCCTTCTACTTTAAAGAGAAGGAACTGAAGTGAAGAAGATTAAACCATTCTAATGGATTATTACATAGAATAAAGAAGAAATCCTACCATCTATTGTGCTAATTCAGTTCTAATCCTTACACAGTTCTGCCATAAGTGGACTTAACTTTCAAAAGCTCTCTTGAATACTGATGCTTGAAAATTTCTAAAACTTAAAAAATAAATCTCAATAGTACTTATGCAGAAAAAAAAAGAATGCCCTACAAATCTCAACGATATTTGTGGAGAAAAAAAAAAAAGAATGCCCTACCTGGTAATATAGAAATATTGTATTACTCAACTATTTTCAAAATTGAAGAGAAGCTAAGTTTAATTTCCTCAATTTTCTTTCCCCTAGGCCTGTTGATTCCACTCCTTTAAAATATAATTCTTGTAGAGTATGGACCAAACAGCGTGATGTACAAAAGTCTCCCAGGCACTTAAAGTTACAAGGTTGTAAAGATACCCAAAGAAACAGATTTCTGAAGAAGAAAACAGGCATGAAGAAGTATCTTTTTATATGGAAGCCAAAAAATCAGGAGCATAACTATAGAAGAGAAGCATTTGACAGCTATAGTGTATAAAAAAATAAATACAGGATCTTTAACAGCAATGAATCATTAGAAATGACCCCCCAAAAATCTGTTTGCCAATACATGTATTTATAAAGCATTTAAGTGCTTAATCATTTGGTTGAATTTAAGAAATGTGAAGATCCTTCAAACAGCATGAAAAGCCTCACATAAAGTCAAGGTCGGTTTGAAGGCAATGGACTATCCACTCCCTTCCTTTTTCCCACAGTTACATCAAATTTCATGTTAACAGGTGAGGTAGAAATTATAAATAAACCTAATACTAGTTGTCTTAAAGTTATACTTGGTTCATCACCTTAATATGATTAATCTATGCTAGAATTTTAATCAATTCTATCCTAATTAAATTGTAGGAAAAATAATCCCCCCAAAACCCACTAAAATATAAGTTATAAAAAGCAATCCCAATAATATAAAAATATAATAAAAAACTATGAAATCAAAAGCTTAGTATGAACAGCAGCCAAGAATAAAGGTCAAACCTACTATGAGAAGTCATATAGGAATTTGTTTACATGACTACAACTAGGTAGCAGTTAAGAGAGTATACCTAACAGGAAAAACATCAAATGGCATGATAGAAAAGAAGAATAAAATATCTTCTTGACTTACTATCTTCATTCATAGCTATCCTACAATGTTTGGAGACAATCAGTGTTTTGTTTTTTTTTTTTTTAAAAAAAGGTGAAAAACATTTTTAAGATAATAATGTTCACTTATTTCCCTTTTCATAGATCCTACAGTTATATTATTTATGGATTTTAGTCTTAGCAGTCTATTAAAAAGCCTCTTTGGAAAATTTAACTGTTCTTGAATTATTTTGCAATTATCACAGGATAATATTTTTGCCATACCTATTACTCTTAAACAGTTTTAAGCCAGTAGTTTAATTATTTATTTCAGTACTATATAAATAAAAAACGGGTGATACGTTCCTGAAACTGGATTTCAATGTAAACCAGAAAAACAAATATTACTGAATTAGAGTCAACCATCTCAGGCCTGGAAAACTAGTCCACTCTCAGTTACACTAATAATGAGACACAGGCCTGAGTAATACAAAATAGGAGCATTACAATAATTTGACTTTAGAATGTGGTCGTTCTGTTTGTTTTGTCTTGTTGGTATCTGTATTTAAACACAGATATCTGTTACTTTAGATATTTATTTCAAAGAAATAATAAGACCATACTGTGAAGGTCTTATTCAAGATCTAAGAAACTACCCAGTTTCCCTATTCTGATATCTCTTCAAAATCTCCCTGCACCCCTCTTTATGCAAAATATATCATCTCAACACTTCCCTGTAGCAAGGACAGTCTTTCATCATTTGAATATCTAAGGTCTGCCCAACTGAGATGAAAAAAAAAAAGATTATTAAGATGGTAGAATGAGAGGTACCAGCTGTCAATAAAGAGAATCTAAAATATTGAGTGTAAAACTGAAACAGAGAAGCTTTCATTCAGACAATCTATTCAAGAACACATCATATCTTAAACTATAGCTTCTAAATTCATCATAGTGGGGTCTTCATTACAATTAGATTTTATTTACATTAACTATTTAAATAATCTAACCAACTCAAGGTTTTAGTAATTTCAGAAAAGGCAGTGTGGTATGGTTGAATAAGTTTCTCATATTCACAGATATATAAAATAGCCAACTTGATTCTTATATACATAATAGGAAAATGTCATAATCAGTCAAAAAAACTAGCATTTTGAAATTGTATTTTAGAGTCTCTTACCAGACTACTTTATTAAAGAATTATGTATCCAATGGGTGCTTATCACTTTCAAATTATGTGCATGCTACAGTATCTTCTGTGACTGCTTAAGGAGCAAGATACCTTCCTGATGTGTGAACCCTGTGTTTCCTCAACCAGGTGAATGTCTAGACTTTCTGGATATCTGATCCCACCTTATCAATCTGGACATAAGGTGAGACTACATACCAAAGAAAACCATTCTTGAATGAACCAATTTTAGATATTCTTTAAGCAAATTTTATAATCCATACAATGTAAATTATACTTTTATCCCTATTTTGACACCAAATATTCTATTTATATCCATCTATAGTACATGTGACCTCCAAAACACCGAAACAAAAAACAAAAACAAACAACAACAACAAAAAAACCCCTGGCATCTCTCAAATATATTTCCCTCACATTCAATAATCCTAAAATCATTCCATCTCTTTTTTGAGCGGTCTCCTACAAAACACCTAGAATTTATAGAACTTTTTAAAAGTTTGAGTCAGTGAAGAGAAGTGGATAGAGCACTGGGCAGTTTCAGAAGACCTGCATTTTCATCATGACTTTATAATCTGGATCCAATATTGGTATCTAGTGACAAAAAGTGTCACAGAAGAGTAAGAAAGATAAATTCAGCCATCCCTGAGACTAAACAATACTTGTAAGAAACAACTTTAAATCAAAATGACTTCAGCAAAGGAGAGCTTTTTAACACTACGATGGAACAAAGACTGAAGGGTTTATTATTCACAGTATTCTGAATTGAAACTTAAATCATCTTTGGGTTAAATGGATAGACTGTATATATCCAAACACCCTTTAAAACATTTTTGTATGAGAAAACTGGACAAGGAACTAATTAATAACATACACATGATGAGAACTGCTGATATAATTAAAGGACATTAGAAAATTTTACATACTTTATTCTTTAGTAAGAATGTTGAAACTAGAACAGAATAATACAGACCCAATAAATATGTGTTTATTATTGTCAATGCTTTACCAAAAGTCTTGATGATTAATAGATATGATGCCTTAAAAATTGAGCTACAGTCTAATTAACCTGAAATATAGTTAAAAATAGCCTTGTTCATTATGATATTAATTAAAACTTTATAGCTACAATATGTAAATTATTAGGAAAATTTAGACCACATTAATTTCTTTATTAACTCAAAATAGAAGGGTTGAAAGAACTTACTGCAACAATCATAATTGCATTATCCAAAAAGCCAAACCCTATGAAAGGTATCGCATTGTGGATGAATACTGAAAAACATCAAAAACAGAAAAATATGTTTTAAGATTTCTATAATTTTAAAATGACAAAAACAGACTATATGATTAAACTCTCATAAATAGATTTGATTTAAGTTTTGGAATTTGCTTTCCATTCCCCATAGACAAAAGATTCTGCTTCTCCTCTGTTTATATACTTGGTGGAAGATATACTGGGGAAAAAACAAAATAAAACACACATAACATGTAAAATTAATTGTGTTAGGCTTTTGTGTTTCCTTATTGGCAATGCACACACGTACAAATTACATACAGTTAATGACAGAACAAATAAATACACGAGTACCATGTTTTACCTGTTAAATTACTATTGACATCAATCTCTTTCTCTCTTAGACCTAACGACTGATACCATAAAATTGATCTCCATATTAGAAATAATAAAAAGTGTTCTGAATCAAATATCAGGGAAGCTATCTGGTCACTTATACTCACTAAACAATTTTTTAAGCAAATGTTAGGAAAATGTGATGATCTCATCTGTCTTAGACATCTGTGTTCACAGTCCTCTTTCCCCCCTCAACACATCAGTATCCCTGATAGCTTTCACCAACTAAAACAAACAATATTTGATTTAAATGAAAATGTAACTTGATCTCTTCCTACCAAAGGCACATCTCACCCTATTTATCTAGTACATAATCTGAATGACCTGAGAAAACAGAAGTGTAACTAGGAAGAACTAATACCTATTTTAAAAATATATTTAGCTTCATTTTTTTTCCTATTTACATCTTCAGCACATTGCAGAATGCCTAGTGCACAGTAGATGCTCAATAAACATTAGTTAAATAAGTTGAGGACAACTAACTTGGAAAGGAAGAGAATTCCAGATTAAGAGAATTGAAGGAAGGCTGTGAAACAGATTAAAAGCTGGGGATAGTTAAGACTTTATTCTAGTTATTCTATAAATTTGCCAAGGTATAGTCAACATCCATTCAACTGAGGACTTTTTAAAAATAAACATCAAGGCTCTGAGTTTTATACCACATCCAAAAAATAGTCCCTTAAACCAATTCGTTATATATGTGTTCAGTGCCTTTAGACCTTTTTCCTTTTCATGCAGTTAAGTCCACAAAAAGTATAATTAAAATATAATCCAGAAGTTATGAAAATTTGATACCACTCTACACCAATCAGAGGAGGCTAATAAGCAGTATAAAACAAGAAACATTTCTACCCACAAGCACTGTCGAAGACTAAGATCAAGGGGGAAAACAGTATATATCCTAGGTCATTTCAGAGTTCTTCTCGTTATCATATAAGAATGTCCCAGGTAAAAATCAGCATCTTTTAAATTATAAAGCATATTGTTTTGTTTTTTTTTAAGCATATTGTTTTAAAAGCTATGAAAGATGATAAAAATCAAGTGGCACCTTAATGAAATGGGATTTTTTAATTAAAGAGTCTAGACTTAGTTCTTTGACTTTTTGCCTAGGTCCAGCTGCTTAATGACCAGACATTCAAAATTTTATAATAATCAGCTTCTAAAACACATACAGAATTTCAAAAACATATTACAAATTTGACATGTCAAAAGAATATAATGAAATTTTAAAAATTCACCATATGAAACATTTACAGTGAAAAGAGAGCTACTTAAATGTATATCTGGAGAGAAGACTCTCCAGACACTCAATCATCTTTGAAATGTAAATATGGCAAAGTAACTATGAAACCTCGGGATTACTAAACATTTTAGGGTTAATATGATGGCATCTCTAAAACTGGCTAGTTATAAATATCTTAAAATTAGGTGTCAAGGTTATTAAACTAAGTTTAAGATTAGACTAATTTCTATCTTAGTAAAAACCTGGTCATAAAACCAAGGCATGTTGCTACACTGCTATAATAATTACCTGGAACTATAAAATATATTATGCTTTGATGTTTAGACCTAAGTAAATGTGTCCTGTAAATAAAAATTTATTTTCATTCCAAAGGAAAATTGTAAGTTTCAGAAAGTCAAATAAACATGTACTGGACACTCCACAGGGCACTTGAGATACAAAGATACTTGGTTACCAGCCCTCAAGAAGTTTGGGTATGATAACACAGCCATATAAGCAGGTAATTTCAATATGACCCCCAAAATGGTAATAGCATTATACAGTGCTATGGATATTGATTGTATGAATCCAGGCTAGAAGAATAAAAAAAGATTACCTGGGAAAGAAACGTCTTAAAGAATTCTTAAACTGTTTTGATATCTCGGAAAAGTTACTTATTTCTAATACAAATTATATTCTACCACTGAGAGTAAAAAGAACTATTAAAAAGAACTGGCTACTAAATTTTAATTATATACGTTTGCTCTCCAGCATGTAATGATATCCTACCAATTTCTTCAGTTTCCTTTGGGAAATATTATTCTCTAACTCAGTAGTTGTTAGCAAATCACATCTAATATTTATCTTTAACTTACAACCTATTCAAATTCACTGCACCGCTAAATAATTCTCTTCTTCCATTGTCTTTATAGTAAGATCCCAAACTATTTTACATTACTTTGGTGTTAGCCCTTGAATATTTATTCCAATCGTAATAAAGAAAGCACACCAGCAGCATTGTAAAGCTCTTCTTCCTCGTGGTTTAAAATGAACTTTACTTTCCTCCTTATTACAAACAACAAATCAGAGTATTTTCTCCACCAAAGAAAATAGCCTAAAAATTCTAGTTCTGAAATTACCCAACTTAAATCCAAACTAAACATACCCTTCTTCTTGGGAATTAAGAAAACCTCTACTATAATTCTATCTCTAGATGGTAACAATATTTAAACAATAATAGATGTGGTTAACAATCTTAGAAATTCCATAATACTGTAATATGTCTTAAACCAATTTTACAAACTTTTTGCTTCAGCATAATAAATAGGATAATCCACTCTATCTGGAATGATTTCTGTACTATTAATGAGTAACACAGTTATTTCAAGTCCAAAAGACAGATGCACAAATATTTAACAATTATAGAACCATTACCATATCTCAGCTGTCCTGGGGTGGGTGGTAGAGCTTCCAATTTTTCTGAAGGGGAAAGAAAGGGTGTGGTCAAGAATTAGTTACTATAGCATGATTTCTTTTTTATTATAATGAAGAAAATACCAGCAGAATTACAAAGTGAGAGAATAGCAGAGTTTTTCATAAATTTTATCTTTAGGTTAATGGACCAAAGTTATCCATACAGGAAATATTACTTGGTATAGATTAAATTATAAAGCTAGAAAACAAAACTAAGCTTTAGTTACAGGCCTACCATGGACCCTATAGCCCTGAGTAAATCATTTGCTTTTTGGTTTTTTGTAAGTCCTTGTATCTATATAATGAGGCTGTTCACGCAAATTACAGTGAAAAAAAAAAAAACTTCAGAAATATAGCTACCCTTCTTTAAAATGGCAACCCTAAATGACTTAAGAAATATATACCCAAACAAACACTGATAATACTCAAGTAGACCTAGATGTCCTTTAAAAATAGGAGAATAATATTTTAAAGCAATGTATTACACCAGTAACTTCACCAGATTGTGTTATGTTCCTTAATTAATATCCCTAGATAATATACTGAATATTTTGAGTTTTGAAACCTATACTACTGGATAATTAGAATATTCTACACAATAAAATGACCCAAAAGAGTAGAGAGAGTATCATTCAACAAATAGCAATATTACTTATAATATATGTCATAATAAACACAGAAAGTTTTCCCAAGTATATATATCAAAGTAAGTAACTTCAAGTGCCATCATTAAATCTAAAAATTAACAATTGTTACAAAGAATCTACCGACCTAATCTCATAACAATAAACAACTCACCATTTATAAGTAAGAGTAAGCTATGGTAAAATGGCAGAGAATTCCACCTTCTTTATCCTCACTCAATCCAACAGAAGTAACTGATAACCTACACAGAAGAACCCAAACCATGGATCGCTCTGCTCTAAAGATTTAGTACAAACAACCGTAGTGTCCAAGGAAATTCATTACAAACTGGATATATATTTTCTAAAATATTTATTTATAATCTATGACAACATAAGAACTGAAGAATTTAGTTTTTAAAAAGGAAAAAGCAAATAAATCTCCATTAATAAGCTATATAAAAAGGAGTATGATTCATATTTGTAAATGTTACTTTACTAAAAAAGCATATAGTATCATAAAGGCTTTACAATAAGAAATACGCTAAAACCTAGAGTTTAGGCAATTACTGAATTATTCAGAAAGTTCTAAGAATGCAAGTTTAAGTTTTGTTTTTCCTTTTTTAGAACAGTTAAGAAATGAAGATATCCTAAAACTTCGTAGAATTTTACATCTGCTTAGAATATACTTTCCATTCTTCGACTAGCACTGTTACTTCAAAATCTACTTTGAAAGCATGCAAATAGTTTTCCAAATTTTTAACAAGAAATATAAGATACCACTGTACTTCCACAGAGTTTTCTGGGGAAGTAAACATGCAAAAGTGGTTACATACCAGAACTATTTCCTAGTTGCATTACTCTCATCATCACTCAGTTCTGACACTGTGAGGAGAAGTCCTTGTCAGTTGACTGGAACATCCTGAAATACCTAAAAATTCAACAAGCAGGACCTTCCCAATATAATGAGAATATACAGAGTCCTTGCTTTTACTTCTTCAAATTCCTTACATATTGAGCAAAATATTTAAAATATTTTACAACTCCTAAGACAAAAGGACAAGGGCTAGGCAAATGTATAACGTGTAGCGGTAAAGAGGAAAAAAAAAATCAAATAATGTAACCAATATTCCTAATCTGTCTTTCCAAGTACACATAAGGATTAAAAAATTAAAGGTAATGAAAAATAATTTTTTTTAAAGATAGAGAAAAAGAAAGAAATATAATGTAAAGGAGAAAAAGCAGGGAAGAAAACCACTGGCACAGAGATTAAAGTAAAATCAAAGCACAGATTTTTGCCTCCTGCATCATAGAGAACCCAAGGAGTAATAAGAGTAAATATGAAAGGAACATTTCCTAGAAAGTGAAAATTTTATTGGAAAGTATCTATAAAAAATTGTGAATCATAAATTGATCAGTTTGAGGATTCTGACACTATAAATTATCTTCTTTACTACATTAACTGAAAGAAAATAAAATACATATCAGAAGTTAAAGGGCTTCCCTGGTGGCGAAGTGGTTAAGAATCCGCCAGCCAACGCAGGAGACACGGGTTTGAGCCCTGGTCCGGGAAGATCCCACAGGCCATGGAGCAACAAGCCCGTGCGCCACAACTACTGAGCCTGCACTCTAGAGCCCGCGAGCCACAACTACTGAGCCCGCGTGCCACAACTACTGAAGCCCGCAAGCCTAGAGCCCATGCTCTGCAACGAGAGAAGCCACGCAATGAGAAGCCCGCACACAGCAACGAAGAGTAGCCCCCTCTCACTGCAACTAGAGACGGCTCACGAGCAGCAACAAAGACCCAATGCAGCCAAAAATAAAACCAATAAAATAAATAAAATTTAAAAATAATTAAATAAAAAGAAGTTAAAAACATTAGATGTATAACACACAGCAAAACTCAATCTTGGAAAGAGCCCAAGGTTTCAGCAATCTATGCAAGTTTTAAAATGTCATGGCTGCCAATTTAACCTCCCTGAAAACAGTCATAATAAACCCCAAAGTTTTATTTCCATACATATATATCTTAACCGTAAAATTTTTCTTCTGACATATGGTAAACTATGTACACTTACATGGAAATGTATTCTAATCTACTGTTTTATTAAGCAGAATTTGGAGTTAGAAAAACCAGTTCTTTCAGTTACTCTATGTGTGTATGTATGTGTTACATGCATCATAATTTCTCTCTTCTTTTCTAAATATTTTAAAATAAGATGACTATTAAGATTGTACATCACCACACCATATTCTCCAACCATTTTTAGCTTAAGAAATCCTGGTTCTACTTCCAATACTGGCTGAATAATCTTCTATCAGACCAATCCTCCTGCACAGAATAACTATAACTATAAATAAATATTTGAAAGCACTGGAAAATGACCAAAAGTAGGTTGATTCTGGAGAGGAATCAACACTTAGAAGAAAGAATGGAACTAAATGAGTTATCCATTTAACACAGCTTCTGGCCTAATCCACAACATGTAGACCAAGTAAAACTCTTAATAAAAAAACTTCAGTCTTTCTGGCCTAAAGAAGTAGTGGGCAGATAAAAAGAAATGAAATTGAGTTATTTGTAGTGAGGTGGATGGACCTAGAGACTGTTACACAGAGTGAAGTAAGTCAGAGAAAAATAAATATCGTATGCTAACACATACATATGGAATCTCAAAAAAAAAAAAAGGTTCTGAAGAACCTAGGGGCAGGAAAGACACAAACGTAGAGAATGAACTTGAGGACACGGGTAGGGGGACAGGTAAGCTGGGACGAAGTGAGAGAGTGGCATGGACTTATATATACTACCAAATGTAAAATAGATAGCTAGAGGGAAGCAGCCGCATAGCACAGGGAGATCAGCTCCGTGCTTTGTGACCACCTGGAGGGGTGGGATAGGGAGGGTGTGAGGGAGGGAGACGCAAAAGGGAGGAGATATAGGGATATACGTATATGTATAGCTAATTCACTTTGTTATAAAGCAGAAACTAACACACCATTGTAAAGCAATTGTACTCCAATAAAGATGTTAAAAAAAAAAAAAAAAAAGAAGTAGTGGGCAGGGTGCAAGGTAACCAAAGCCGTTGGAAACTGAGAGGGGAATCCTGGAAAGAATAAAGTCAGAAAGGAGGAGCCCTAAGTTCTGTATACACATTTGGTTCAAATATATGGCTGACCTGTAAACCACGCTTGTGCAGGGAAAACTCCAAAAATCTCAGTTAAAGGTAAAATAACTGAAGATTTGAGCTGCAGCCCAAGAGACAGAGTTTGCAATTTGAGCCTAACAATTAACTGCATGCTAAAACAAATAAACAAAAGTCAATATTTTTCAGAAGAATGAAACACAATCCAGAGTCTCTGCAACATAATAATCATAGCAATGACTAGGATACAATCCAAAACTACTTCACAAACAGTAAAACCTGACCCATTTTCAGGATAAAAAACAATAGACAGAGACCAATTCAAAAGTGACTCAAATATGCATATGTATGTACAACTGTATCACATTGCTGTACACCAGAAACTAACACAACATTGTAAATTGACTATACTTCAATTTTTTTTAAAGTGACTCAAATGTTAGAAATAGCAGACAAGGAATTTAAAGTAGTAATTAAAATTATATTCGAAGATATAAAAATAAAAATGCTCAAATAGAAATGATAAAAAACAAACTGAAGTTCCATAACTGAAATATTCAATATCTGAAATTTCAAAATTAACTGGATAGGCTTAAAAACATAATGAAAGTGATAGAAGAAGCAATTAATGAACATAATGACAGATCAGTAAAATTACCCAATCTGAAAAAGAGAATAAAAGGACTGAAAAACAGTAAATCAGAGTCTCAGGGCCCTGTGGCTAAATATCAAAAGGTCAATATATGCATAACTGGAGTTCCAGAAGGTGAGGAGAAAGAAAAGGACCAAAAAATCTTTTAAAATAAATAATGGCTAAAACTTTCTCAAAGTTGGGGGGAAGACAAAAATTTCAAAAGATTCAGGAAGTTCAGTGAACCCCTAGTAGGATAAATATAAAGAAAACCAATGACAAAGAAAAAAATATATTGAAAGCAGTCAGGAAAAAAAATGACACATGAAGTAAAGGAAAACAATGATTTGAATATACGGAAAGAAAAAGAAAGCTGTCAGTCCAGTATTGCATATCCAGAAAAATATCCTTATCCTTCACGAATGAAGACAAATTGTACCTCAGTTAAACTAAAACTATGAAAAAATGTGTTGCCAGCCAATCTGCAAAACAGGAAATGCAGAAGAAACTTCTTCAGACAGAAGGAAATACCAGGTGGAAAGTAAAATCTTCAGGGAAGAATGAAGAGCATCAGAAATGGTAAATACTGAATAAATATAAAAAACTACTTTT